TCCCCCAGTCCGGCTCCCTCGGCCGAGCGTCTACCCCTCCTCACCCCCACCCCCACCTCCCCCGAAGTTCCGGCGGGCTGGGGGCGGCTACCACCAGGCTACCCATCGTTAACCCGTGATTACCCACTAACAAAAGCACCTGCCCCTGGAGTTAACAAGAAATGAAAAAAAAAAATCTTCCAAGCGGTTTCAACAGATGAAAATAGAATTACACATTTTTGGTTACATATTGTAACCCAAGACACGGTGACAAAGGAATGATTAAGACAAATTAACTTAATGCATAGTTAGGAATGTCTTGTCTTTTTGTAGTTGAATCTTCACAAATCTTGTCTGCCTTTTCTAGCATATTCCTCTTTTAATTTTCTTCTCCTGTTCTAGCTGTATTTGCTGTAGCAATGAAAATATACAGGTCACTGATGGCACAAAAACCCTCCAACTGTTCGTCCTTTAGGCTGACCAGCTAAGATGCCAGTGTCCCAAGGACTGACATGCACATGGTGGGAAGAAAGGATCAATGAAGATGTTAATTTCCTTTCAAAATTGGCAGCTATAATAATGATGGCCGTTTAAAATAAGTAAATCAGAAGTGGAGTACCAATGAGGATTGAAAAGTAAAACAGAAAACACAAAACCAAACCATATCAGAGTGAATGGGGTTAATACCAAACAAATGAAAATTTCGGGTGCAAAAACTATACCAAACAAATCTAAGGTTCTATGTAAGATTTACAATGGCCCTGGAAAAAAACAGCAGCATTCCATGGCTATTTGCCTCAGCTGTATCTGCTGCCGCAGTAGGTCAAAATCATTGCTAAGCAGTTAATAAAAGAAGTTCAGAAGACTTCAGTTGAGACTGATGTTGAAACAGGAGCACTACTTCCTATTAAAGTAGGTTATCTGAATTACTGGGAGGTCAATAATAGCCAGCCTGTCCACTTAAGTTACCCTATTTCTGTGTATTCCAGGTCAGTTCATGAGAAAATCCTATCTCAAGATGCTAAATAGGCTACTGTTAAATTTTTACACCTTTTGACCAGCAAGGTTATTTAAACTGAGGTTGTTTAGCTATCTGAGGGAATATTTTATAGGTGACCTTCAGTCTGATCTGCGTATTCTTCTTAGCACATATTCACGTACTTGGTAATTGCCGGCTAATGAGCATTAAAGAACATGAAGTATGAGACTAGTGACTGTTGGTTTTAGTGATGGATATTTTTTTCAGCTTTCTGTGTGTTGTAGGTTTGGTTCTGTTAAAAATGATGTGGTGGGGTAACAGAGAAGAAAGCTAGACATGATGTCACCAGAGAAGGGAAGCATTTGTACCTTCCTCAAGCACTGAAACACATTCAGGATGTGAAAGCGCTGTGAAGTGCTTTGAAATGATGGCATTGAAGGTCAAATCCAGTAGCCTGCAATGACTGCAGCTATTGAGAGCAGCTAAACTAAGAAAAAGGTTCAAACCCAACAGAAAAATTAAGGTCCTCATTGTGGAAAATCACCAGTTAATACATTCTTTCAGCCATACACATAGGGAGCAATTTTGGATATGTATTTTCCATTCCCTTATTTTACACTTTATATGTTTTTGCTTTTATGCTTTTCTTTTTATTATGATACTCCGCAGTAAGCCTTTAAGCAGTATTTTTGACATGCAACATTTAAGGAATATGTCGGATCATTCAGCTTCTAAAGAAGAGGGTTTTTTACTTGCTGACCACAGTTTTGATTTCATTTTGTCTGTATTTGTGACCTGCTTTACACTTAGAATTTTCCAGCAGTTGTAGGTATTTATGATGTCTACCTTTATGGTAACTGGTAAAAGCTGCTCTATTAGTACTTCTTTCGCCTCCATTTCCCTTATGAGCTGTTCAGTAGCAATCATAAGGCAGGAAAGTACACTAAAATGATAATGAAAGAGAGAAATTGTAGATCCTTTCAGAAAAGAGAAGCAGAAATGTATCATTTGTACGCAAGAGATGGCTCCCTTGTGTATATTGAGGTTGTCAATAACTCAACCAAAAGGGAAGAGAGTTCTGGTACTGAATTAAAATAAAAGTAAAATTGGATCAAAGCAGACAGAACTGAGCTCAATTTTCTCATTTACAAAATGTGAGTATTTCATATTGCAGCACTGTGCAGTACATTAATTGGAAAGCTAATTAATGTTGAATTGCAGTAGAAGTGCTGTAAAAGTACAGGGCACATATGACATCCACAGGAACATCAAATAATTTTTTTTTTTCCTGTGGGTAGGCTGGCCATTAGAAGGGATGCCAGATGGATTTATAATTAAGGGGGACATCAAATACAATCATTGCAATCTTGTTATGACAGCAAATGCCTGGACTTGTGTTCTAATGTGGGGGTTTTTGGTTAAAGTCTGAATTTTGGCTGAACAATCACCTTTGGTGGGGATTAGTACTTTCTGTTTTAACATACTGCAGAGATTGGAAGAGTACACTGAAAGTGTTGAAATGAGACTGGTCAATGAGTGTTATCGATGTTAGTATTATCAGAATTGGTGCAAAGGAGAGAAATACACAAAACTAGCATTATTAAGGAGAGCATACTGTATCAGATCTGTGTCTGAGTCTATTGCTAGAGCACTCTGCTGGAATATTTACTTTCAGATGTTTATATTCATGGATACAATTGTCCTGTATTGGTGCTGCACTTTGTAGTATTTTTAGGTTGGATAATATGAAGTATTAGCTAATAGTTTGCATCTGAATGGCAAGTTTTTTATATGATCATTTAGCTTCTGCAAAAACTTCAGAGGCTTGAGGAAGATAGAAAATTTGACTTTGCTCAAAATGTGAGGAAGTCAGGAGCAGTCAAGAAATGAAAGGAGGCTGAAACTAGTGTCTCGGGAGGATTGTGTACTTGTGAGTAATGTAAGTTTATTGACATATGCTTGTGGAGTCTCCAGCGAGTTCCCTGCCGTTTTGTATTTTACAAGCCAGTGAAGCTGTTTTCATTACTAGAACACTCATTAGTGTTCCCCTAGCAGGTAAGTCAACCATAGTTTCATTATTGTGTATTTCTGGTATATCCATAGGCAATGTGTTCATACTCAGAGGAAAAAAATGAAATACAAGCTAATCTTAAGTATTAGCTATATGTCCCCCAAAACTTTTAAAAAACTCCACCAAACAACCAAAAATGGGGTGCTTCTATTCTTCCCTCTTCTTTATTTCTTTTCTGTAGGTAAAGAGAGAGATCGGAATAAATTCTGCAAGCTGGGCTGGTCTTTTCTTTGATTCTTTGGGCAAGTATTTATGCTGACTACATTTTCCATATTTTTTTTCTGATTTCCCAACACAATCTATGCTGGATTTTTCCTGATGACATGGAGCATTTTTTCGCCTCACTGTTATTTATTTAGAAAACTGTTTCTTGTTCTTTTTGTTCATTTATATATTTTTTCCCACTGGCAAGCCACTGAGTTTGTCTTCTCTTGCAACGTGTACGCTTCTCAACACCCACCATTCTCGCTGCCCTGGTACCAGAGGCACGGTCAGCCATCTGTGCATCAC